CCCCTCCCGCCCCCCAATGCCCTTGCAGCTCCCCCGACCTCCTGATCTGTGGGGCTGATGCCGCCCGCACCCGGGAAGGAAGGGGCGCGATCCCCCCCTGCAAGCAGGAGCCCGAGCGGGAATTGCCCTATGGGGAGCCCCCCCTCCCGCCCCCCAATGCCCTTGCAGCTCCCCCGACCTCCTGATCTGTGGGGCTGATGCCGCCCGCACCCGGGAAGGAAGGGGCGCGATCCCCCCCTGCAAGCAGGAGCCCGAGCGGGAAGTGGGGGGGGGCGTGCATGGACGAGGAGGCGCCTTCCGGCCTGAAAACACCCCCTGAAAACATGCAGGTTCCCCGTTTGCGGAACTTGGGGGCAGGACGTGGGCTCTCGCTGCTGCTGCAAAGTCAAAGAGGCGGCAATGCACGAGGGGAGGGGCGGAGGGACTAAGGGGGGGGGAATTGCTGGGGGCGGGCGGAGGAAGGAAGGGAGAGGACCTCCCCCCCCCAAGCCTCGGAGGGGCTCCTGCGGCGCCTCCGTCGGGGAGGACAGCTCGGGCGCCCTGTGGGGGCGGCGAGGCACTGCAAGGGGGGGGCTCCTTCATTGGGGGGGAGGCTCCCTTTCGTTCTCACTCGAAGGGGAGGGGGCCGTGGGAAAAGCTTTCACCCCCTCCCCACCCACCACGCGGGTATAAGGACAACACCCCCTACCCCCTAAAGTGTTTCTTCCCAGGGCTGCCTGCTGCTGCCAATTGGGGCGTCTCCTGCCTTCTCTCAGGGCCGGCCCCAGCTTATTTTGCACCCTAGGCGAGGATCCCTTCTGCTGCGCCGCCGCCCCCCCCCATTTTTCAAAAATAAATGATCTCCAGCCACCACCTGGAAGTTGGCAACCTGAGGTAGGAGGAGGTTTTTTTTTCCCCCTTGCATGGCCTGCTAGGAAAAAGCCATGCCCACCTCTCTTAAACACAGGAGTGGCCAATTTCCAGCAGCTGCCAACTTGTCTCTGTCTGCAGAGCTCAACTGGACTGAAGCTGTCAGGGAAAGCCCCACCCATGGCGTTCAGGAGAGTATGGGGGGGTTGAAAAGTACTGAGAAACGTGGAGTGATTTCAGCAAGAGTACTTTTATTAGGATAGAACAAGACAAAGACTGCCGGCTCGCAGGCCGGTATATATGCCCAGAAACCCACCACCTAAACACACCCCCTATTCCTCTATAGGCTATTTACAGTGGCCGAGAGTCCCATAGGCTCTCGGACGCGGACCTGGCCCTCTGATTGGTGCGGGCTAGGATCCGCTTGGCTATTCTTCTCAGGGGAGCGAAGCTCTGCTGCTAGGCATGACCACATGGCCCAACGGTCGCGCACGTGGTCATGGCTGAGTACATTACAGGGGTGGTCCTCAGTGAATCGGAAGAAAGGGCCATGAGGAAGGACCGGGACAGCTGGCAAGTTCAAACCTAGTTTCCCCTCCTCAGGTGGTAAACTGGAGGGGGGGGCTTTAAACAAGACGTCCTGAGAAAACATTTATTTAGCAAACATTAACTCAGATCGAGCTGCCTAATCAGAGGAGCATTTTTCCACTGAAGTGCGTGAAACAAAAGAATAACAAAGGGGGCTCCTGGCTTACAAGTGGGCTGGTCAGGGGGAGGGAGCTGTTAATTAACCCCTCTACTCTTTCAGCAGCCCACCAAATGGGAGGCCCACTCTTGATTCGGATTAATCAACAGCCGATGCCGGGGAGGGGAGGAAACTCTCCAGAGAAATCGCTGAGCTGGGAACTGCAGTACCTCGACTTCCAGAGGAGAAAGCTCCTTAGTTGCTGTAGACGTAGGAGCTCCTCCTTGGCTCCAAGAAAAACAAACGAAAGTTCGTGGCTTTCCCAACAAAAGCCTCAACTCCTGCCGCCATGCCCCTCCCCCTGCCCCGGCAGGAAAGCAGAACTCCTCTCCCTCCCTCAAAACTTACCAGCTGGTTTCTAGCATGAGTTGTGCTGAGCGGCTCAGCCTGAGCTTGAGGGAAGGTGCGAGGTGGTGGACCCGCCCACTGGCAGTCTCTGGAGGAGACTTCTCCCGGGCCCTGTGTGGGTCACTTACTGGCCGCACGCACTCGTTTACGCCCATGCGCGCAAGGCAGGCCAGCAGCGAAGCGGCCAGGCTTCTTCTGGCTGCACCAGCAGCGGCAGGCACACTGGGGCTTTTGACTGGCCGGGGCCAGAGGAGCGCTGAGGCGTGCGCGAGGCGGAAAATGAAAGTGAAGCAGCCGGGCTTTTTCTGGGCGGGCGGCACGCCGGGGCTTTTGGTGAGGTGCGGGGCCAGGCCAGAGGGGCGCTGAGGCGTTCGCGAGGCGTGCGCAAGGCACACGAGGCGGAAAGCAGCGCTTCTTACTCGGCTTTTGGTGGGTGCTGGGGAGGGACTTTGGTGGGGGGGTTCTGGCCCTGTTTTGGTGCCCCTCAGGCCGGCTGGCACTCTAGGCGAATGCCTAGTTCGCCTAGCAGGTGAGCCGGCCCTGCCTTCTCTGATGAAGGGAGCCGGAACTGTCTCCAAAGACCGAGATGGGCGGGCATGTCATAGAATCATAGAATGTTAAGAGTTGGAAGGGACCTTGCAGGTCATCTAGTCCAACCCCCTGCACTCTGCAGGAGCATAGCGAAAAGATAGCCCTACATACATACAACATACCCAAAAGGAACCGTCCAGCGAAGGAGCATCCACCACCTCCCGAGGCAATCTGTTCCACTGCTCAGCCACTCTTACAGTTAGGACGTTTCTCCTGATATTTAGCCGGTATAGAATCATAGAATGCAAGAGTTGGAAGGGACCTTGCAGGTCACCTAGTCCAACCCCCTGCACTCTGCAGCACAGCCGAAAGATGGTCGTCCAGCCTCTGCTTGAAAACGTCCAGCGAAGCAGCCTCCACCACCTCCCGAGGCAGTCTGTTCCACTGCTCAACCATTCTTACCGTTGGGAACTTTCTCCTGATATTTAGCCGGTAACGACTCCCTTGTAAATTCCACACATTAGATCTAGTCTTGCAATCCGGAGCAAAGGAGAATAGATCTGCTCCATCTTCTACATGACAGCCCTTCAGATACTTGAAGACTGCAATCATGTCCCCTCTAAGCCTTCTCTTTCCCAGGCTAAATATCCCCAACTCTTTCAGCCTTTCCTATTAAGACTTGGATTCCAACCCTCTCACCATCCTGGTTGCCCTCTTCTGGACACGCTCGAACTTATCAATATCCTTCCTAAAATGTGGTGCTCAAAACTGGACACAGGACTCCAGGTGAGGCCTGACAGTAGCAGAATGTCAGATGGTTAGGCGCAGCAAAGAAGAGCCAAGAGTTCCAGACAGGGCCGGCTCAAACACTAGGCGAACTATGCATTCGCCTAGAGTGCCGGGCCCTGGATGGGGCGGGTGGACCCTGGATGGGGCACGTTCTGGCCCCAGCCGGCCAGCCCTGCCAGCTAGCAGGTGCTGGGAAAGACTCCGGGAGCCACTGCCAGTCTGCACAGATAAGGCTGCCCTGGCCTGACTCCCTGCCGGCCTCCTCAGGAGGCCCCCCCCTGGCTTGTCTCCTCAGGCGTAGGTGGGGAAGAGCCTCCCATGGAGAGCCAGCATTGCAGACTCCCGGTGAGACAACAAAGATGACTGGCCCGCCACCAGCAGCCCCAAGCCGCCCGGCCACCCTCCCCCGCCGACGCGCCACCCGTCCGCCCGCCTCGCTCTCTGCCTCTGGGTGGCACAGGGAAGGGAAGAGAGCGGCACGTGTGGCTGCCGGGGCCTGCTGACCGGCCATCGGGGGAGGATCCAGTCACACGGAATTCCCCAAGCCGCTTGGCCGCCCTCCCCCACCGATGCGCCACCCCTCTGCCTGCCTCGCTCTCTGCCTCGACCCGGGGCACTGTGTGCCACGGAGAAGGGAAGAGAGTGGCACACGTGGCTCCCCAGACCTGCCGACCGGCCATCGGGGGAGGAGCATCCAGTTGAGTTCCGCTGGAAGGCGGAGTGGAGGAGAAGCCCAGCGCCACTTGGGGAGCACACATACCCCCCCCCCAGCCTCTCTGGACCCAGGTAAGGACAGTCCCAGCGGCTCCCCACAGTGAAGACGGAGGCAAAAAATGCATTTAGCTTCTCAGCCATTTCCCTATCATCCTTCAGTACTCCTTTTACCCCTTGGTCGTCCAAGGGCCCCACTGCCTCCCTGGCTGGTTTCCTGCTTCTAATGTATTTGAAGAAAGTTTTATTGTTGGTTTTTACGTTTTTTGCTATATGCTCCTCATATTCCCTTTTTGCCTGCCTGACCTCAGACTTGCATTTTATTTGCCATAGCCTGTGTTCCGTTTTATCAGCCTCACTGTGACTAGCTTTCCACCGCTTAAAGGAGTCCTTTTTACCCTTTACAGCTTCCCTTACTTTGTTTGTTAACCGTGCAGGCTTTTTCCTATACCTGTTTGTGCCTTTCCTAACCTGCAGAATATATATATTTTTTAAGCTTCTAGGATCCAAGCTTCCCCAATGGTTTTGACCCTTTTTACTTTTCCCTTCAGTTTCCTCCCCACGTCCCCTCATATCAGAAAATTTTCCCCTTTTAAAGTTAAAATTTTCCCCTTTTAAAGTTAATAGGGAAACTTCTTCATAGGGAAAGTGTTCCAACCCGTTTATCATTCTAGTTGCCCTTTTCTGAACTTTTTCCAAAGCTATATCTTTTTTGAGGTGTGGTGACGAGAACTGTACACAGTATTCCAAATGAGGTCACAATATCAATGTATACAGGGGCATTATGATACTGGCTGATTTGTTTTCAATTCCCTTCCTAATAATCCCCAGTATAGCATTGGCCTTTTTTATTGCAGTCACACACTGTTTTGACATTTTCAGTGAGTAATCTACTACGACTCTAAGATCTCTCTCTTGGTCAGTCTCTGCCAGTTCGGACCCCATCATCGTGTATTTATAGTTAGGATTTTTGGCTCCAATGTGCCTCACTTTGCACTTGGCCACACTGAACCCTATTTGCCACGCTGACGCCCACTTGCCCATCCTCCAGCAAACAGTACAGCATACAGTAGGAAAAATATATATCCAAAAGGAGACTTCAACAAAGTGAAATGCATATATAGTCTGGAACGAATCTACTCCTATACTCCATTATGGGAAAATACAGACGTCAACAAGATCCATAACAGGACAATACAGAGTCGAAAGTATAAATATACAAGAAAAGTATCCAACACTTTTCCTAGGTATAATTGCATGATTGTACTGCGTTATAAGCCAATATGCTCCTCATTGCGTTTGTCCTCTGAAGAAGGCCTATACAGGCCGAAATGCATCAGGTCAAGTCTATTAGTCCTTGTGTGCTAGATTATGGTATTTTTATATGAGGTGTGCTTGGGCCCTTATATTTTTTTAATTCGTTGTTAATAAATACATGTATCTTTTTATACTATACACATTAAGTTTTTATTGTTGGCCCTCTATTCTGTTTGAGTTATCTTTTTAGGTTTTGGATCCCAGGTTTCTGCTCTGAATAAACCCCTTCGCCATACATTTCCTAACCCATGACATTTCCTAAGGTGATATTTTAGTAATTAAAAGTTTTGAAGCGCCGGGACCAAACCGTCACAGAGCACGGGCAGTTAATAAAGTTGCCTCTGTATTAACACTTTGTCTCAATCGAATTCCACACTCTGAGCATGCAAAGGGTTTCTTTGTTGCGTGGGTTCTCATACATTGGAAGAATGCCATTATGACTGAACTTCTTTCCACACTGAGCACTCAAAAGGATTCTCCCCTGTGTGCGTTCTTCAGTGCAGTTAAAGAGTACCACTGTCTGAATCTCTTTCCACACACTGAGCATTAGAATCATAGAGTTGGAAGGGATCTCCAGGGTCTAGTCCAACCCCCTGTACAATTCAGGAAATTCACAAACATCTCCCCACACAAACACCCAGTGACCATTGATCCATGCTCAGAAGATGGCAAACAAACAAAAAAACCCCAAGCCTCCAAGATCCCTGGCCAAATGGGCATGGAAAAAAATTGCTTCCTGACCCCAAAGTGGTGATCAGCATTTCCCAGAGAATGTAAGGAAGGGACACAAGAACTAAGCACTGAGGCAACCCTTCCTGCCCTCCCTTCTCGTGATCTGCTGTCACATCGTCATATATCCTCTGATTAAAAACCTCCAAAGTCGAGCCCACTATCTCCCAAAGGTTAAAATGGTATCTCCACTGTGTGGGTTCTTTGATGCCATTGAAGAGTGTGACTCTGACTAAAACTCTTTCCACACTTTGAGCATTCAGAAGGTTTCTCCCCTGTGTGGGTACTTTGATGCTGTTGAAGATGGCCACTCTGGCTGAATATCTGAGCACTCAAAAGGTTTCTCTCCTATGTGGGTTCTTCAATGCAGTTGAAGAGTGCCACTCTGACTGAATCTCTTTCCACACTCTGAGCACGCAAAAGGTTTTTCCCCTTTGTGGGTTCTTCGATGCAGCTGAAGACTGCCACTCCTACTGAATCTCTTTCCACACTCCGAGCACTCAAAAGGTTTCTCACCTGTGTGGGTTTCTCTGATGGCGTTGAAGACTGCAACTCTGACTGAATCTCTTTCCACACTCTGAGCATTCAAATGGTTTCTCTCCTGTGTGGGTTCTCTGATGCCGTTGAAGACTGCCACTGTGACTGAATCTCTTTCCACACTGTGAGCATTGAAAAGGTTTCAGTTTCTTTGCTATGTGGGTTCTCTGATGCTCTTGAAGATTGCCACTCTGACTGAATCTCTTTCCACACTCTGAGCATTCAAATGGTTTCTCTCCTGTGTGGGTTCTCTGATGCCGTTGAAGATGCGAACTGTTAATGAATCTTTCTCCACACTCTGAACATTCAAAAGGTTTCTCCCCTGTGTGGGTTCTCTGATGACACTGAAGAGTCGAACTGTTAATGAATCTTTTCCCACACTCTGAACATTCAAAAGGTTTCTCCCCTGTGTGGGTTCTCTGATGACACTGAAGAGTCGAACTGTTAATGAATCTTTTCCCACACTCTGAACATTCAAAAGGTTTCTCCCCTGTGTGGGTTCTCTGATGACACTGAAGAGTCGAACTGTTAATGAATCTTTTCCCACACTCTGAACATTCAAAAGGTTTCTCCCCTGTGTGGGTTCTCTGATGACACTGAAGAGTCGAACTGTTAATGAATCTTTTCCCACACTCTGAACATTCAAAAGGTTTCTCCCCTGTGTGGGTTCTCTGATGACACTGAAGAGTCGAACTGTTAATGAATCTTTTCCCACACTCTGAACATTCAAAAGGTTTCTCCCCTGTGTGGGTTCTCTGATGCCGTTGAAGATGCGAACTGTTAATGAATCTTTCTCCACACTCTGAACATTCAAAAGGTTTCTCTCCTGTGTGGGTTCTTTGGTGCACTTGAAGATCGCCACTCCTACTGAATCTCTTTCCACAAAATGAGCATTCAAAAGGCTTCTCCCCTGTGTGGGTTCTCTGATGCCGCTGAAGAGTCGAACTGTCAATGAATCTCCTTCCACACACTGAGCATTCAAAGGGTTTCTCCCCTGTGTGGGTTCTCTGATGCTGTAGAAGAGTGGGATTGTGACTGAATCTCTTTCCACACTCTGAGCATTCAAAAGGCTTCTCCCCTATGTGGGTTCTCTGATGCTGTAGAAGAGTGGGATTGTGACTGAATCTCTTTCCACACTCTGAGCATTCAAAAGGCTTCTCCCCTATGTGGGTTCTCTGATGCTGTAGAAGAGTGGGATTGTGACTGAATCTCTTTCCACACTCTGAGCATTCAAAAGGCTTCTCCCCTATGTGGGTTCTCTGATGCTGTAGAAGAGTGGGATTGTGACTGAATCTCTTTCCACACTCTGAGCATTCAAAAGGCTTCTCCCCTATGTGGGTTCTCTGATGCTGTAGAAGAGTGGGATTGTGACTGAATCTCTTTCCACACTCTGAGCATTCAAAAGGCTTCTCCCCTATGTGGGTTCTCTGATGCTGTAGAAGAGTGGGATTGTGACTGAATCTCTTTCCACACTCTGAGCATTCAAAAGGCTTCTCCCCTATGTGGGTTCTCTGATGCTGTAGAAGAGTGGGATTGTGACTGAATCTCTTTCCACACTCTGAGCATTCAAAAGGCTTCTCCCCTATGTGGGTTCTCTGATGCTGTAGAAGAGTGGGATTGTGACTGAATCTCTTTCCACACACTGAGCATTCAAAAAATATCTCTGCTCTGTATATTTTTTGGTGCACAAGGAACTTTGACCTATTTCTGAAGTGCTTTCCACACTGAATGGATTTACTTGACTTCAGTATTCTGTGCACTGGATAATATACATTACACTTTCTTCCATCTTGCTTCTCAAACAAATGGCTGTCTTTTTTTCTTTTAGGTCTGCTACGTTTCTTGACATTTTCTGTCAGATCTTCATTTTTAACTCTATCTGACCTTTGCTGATAAAGTTCCTCAACCTCTTCATTTCTCTGATCATCCTCTGCTGGAATAAGGAGAGAGAGCCTGTTAGCTCCTGGAAGGGCTTGTAAGGTCCAAATGCATCTATCTGACCACAGTAGGAAAGGATTGATGGCCTTTTGGCCTCAATCGGCATCACTGATTTTAACCACCCCTCCACTTTTCCCCAGAATATCTAGTATTGAAGCATACACCACCATCCCTGCAAGAGCCGCAGCTGAGCTCTTGACCAGAAGTAGCTTCAGAGCCTCCAGATTTCACACCCCCAGAAGGCCTCCTACCCTCCTTACCCAGGGGGCTGTATGACTGCACCAAACCAAATGTTGCCCAAAAGAGGATCAGAAATCCCCATGGCATTCCTTGCCTGTTCCCTTGACATAACCGTGACAATACTCACTCTTAGCCAGCTCATTTGGGAAGGAAATATGATCTTGGGATCCTCCTGAGAAACTCTCCAGCCTTTCTTTGGATCCAAGGCCATTATCTTTTTCCACCGTAGTCTCTCTTATACTTCTGGCTTCTTTTGCAGAGAGAGACAGAGAAAGAGAGAGTGAGTGATCATTCTTGTATGGGGAAGAAAAGAAATTCAAGAGTAGATATTCTTCTGGAGGGAAGGAACTGTGGTCAAGATCGGTGTTCCTTCTAAGCTGAGTTAGCGTGAGCTAGCTCACAGTTTCTTAGCTTCCGTCTCACACATTTTTGTCTTAGCTCAGGAAAGGATGGGGCTCCAGAGCAAACTAATTGATGCAGGAGCCAAACCAGTCGCTCACAACTTTAATGCCAGTACCTCACAAAGTAGGATTTTTGCTCACAAGACGCTACAGCTTAGAGGGAGCATTGGTCAAGATCTAAGCCCACCATCCCAAACAGTATAAGGGGAATGGTACTGTGAAGCAAGGCACCCTAGTTCCTTTAAGGGTAAGCATGATTATTAAGTGGCCTGGACTGACTTACAGGTGTTCGTGATTTGGGTCTCCCTGCAGCTAACATCCTCATCTTTTTCAAGACCAGACTCCAGAATGTGGTCATTGGTCAATTGTGAGAACCTGTATCCAGTTGTGTAACCGGGAGGGAGGGGGGATTAGGAGGGTGCTGAAAGCCTCTCGAAAATTCCGTCAAGCAGGACCCTTGATTGGGTCATTCGGACCACCTGACCCTAGAGTGGCAGAAAGTGCAATACGGGTATAGCGCTAGCTGTATGCTCATGCCAGCAGTGTTCCCTCTAAGCTGAGTTAGTGTGAGCCAGCTCACAGTTCTTTAGCCTACGGCTCACACATTTCTGTCTTAGCTCAGGAAGGATGGGGCTCCAGAGCAAACTAATTTATGCAGTAGCCAAATCACTCGCTCACAACTTTCATGCCAGCAGCTCACAAAGTAGAATTTTTGCTCACAGGACTCCATGGTTTAGAGGGAGCACTGCATGCTAGTGGGTCTGCTTTACTTGTGTGCGCTCTCCTCATGAACCCACTGAACTGGGTGCCACTCAGGTACAAAGAGGAGTGACCCGGGGGGACCCAGGCTTCGGTTCTTGACGGGATCATTTCCAGATCACAGGCAGAGCAGATGCTGGTAATCCCATCCCAGGGGAACGGTGTGTTGTAAAGGCTGTCAACAGAGAAATGAGGATCTGGCCTCTTCCAGAGTCATAGAATCATAAGAGTTGCAAGGGGCCATACGGACCATCTAGTCCAACCCCCTGCCCAACGCAGGACCAGCCTAAAGCATCCCTGACAAGGGCTCATCCAGCCGCTGCTTGAAGACTGCCAGTGAGGGGGAGCTCACCACCTCCCCAGCCAGCTGATTCCACCTTTGAACCACTCTGACTGTGAAAAAGTTTTTCCTGATATCCAGCCGATACTTTTCTGCATGTAATTTAAACCCGTTGCTTCGGGTCCTCTCCTCTGCTGCCAACTGGAACAGCTCCTTGCCCTCCTCCAAAGGACAGCCTCCCAAATATTCAAAGAGAGCAATCATGTCCCCCCTCAATCTCCTCCAAACTAAATATTCCCAAGGCCCTCAGCCTTTCCTAGTAGGGCTCAGTCTCCAGACCCCTGATCATCCTCGTCGCTCTCCTCTGCACCCTCAGGATTTTGTCTACATCCTTTTTGAAGTGAAGCCTCCAGAACTGCACATAGTACTCGAGGTATGGCCTGACCAAGGCAGTATACAGAGGGGCTATGACCTCCTGCGATTTCAATGCTACGGCCCTTTTGATACAACCCAAGACTGAATTCGCCTTTTCTGCCACCGCATCACACTGACTGCTCATATTCAGTTTACAGTCCACTCTTACCCCAAGATCTCTTTTGCATGCACTACTCTCCGGAAACATATCCCCCATCCAGTATTTGTGCTTGCTTGACATTTTTGTGTCCGAGATGTAATACTGTGTACTTATCTTTGTTGAATTGCATCCTGTTTGCAACTGCCTACTTCTCCAGAGTATTCAGGTCTTGTTGAATTTTAACTCTATCTTGGGTGTTTGCTACTCCACCCAATTTGGTATCATCAGCCAGTTTAATGAGTAGCCCTTCTACCCCTCCATCCACATAATTGATAAAAATATTGAAAAGTACCGGGCCCAAAACCGAGCCCTGCGGCACCCCACTGGACACCTCCCTCCAATCTGATGAAACGCCACTGACCATTAACTCTTCGGGTGCAGTCCTCTGACCATTTACCTATCCACCGAACTGTCCTATAGTCCAGCCCACAGTCTTCCAGTTTGCCCGTCAGAATGTCATGGGGAACTTTATCAAAAGCCTTACTGAAATCCAGGTAAATCACATCAACAGAGTTCCCACGATCCAGTAAGCTCATCAGACGATCAAAGAAGGAAATCAGGTTGGTCTGACAGGATCTGTTTGGGACAAAACCATGCTGACTTCCCTGGATCACTAAGTGGTCCAGATGCTTACAGATCGATCCCTTTAAAATCTGCTGTAATATCTTTTTGAGAGCCTCTCATCCCCACCTTTGCCTCAGGCTGGGATTGGGTGATGGCCACAACACTGGCCTCAGTAGCCCCTGGGCAAGGACACACACATGAACAACACATGAAGCTGCCTTCTACTGAATCAGACCTTTGGTCCATTGAAGTCAGTATTGTCTACTCAGTCTGGCAGCCGCTCTCCAGGGTCTCAGGTGGAGGTCTTCCACATCACCTCCTACCTGGTCCTTTTAACTGGACACACTGGGGATTGAACCTGGGACCTTCTGCACTCCAAGCAGATCCTGTGCCAGTGAGCCACAGCCCCTCTCCAAGGAGTGGGAAAGGCCTCAAAACACTGTATTGCTATTTTATATTTTGATTCATGCCTCATCCCAAAGGCAGAAAACAGCACCTTCGGCACCTAGGAAAGTTCCTTACCCAGAAAGGCCACATTCCTGTAGTTCTCCAGCATGACTTCCCGGTGCAGAGCTCTTTGTCCCGGATCCAACAGGGCCCACTCTGCCTCCGTGAAATTGATGGACATCTCCTCAAAGGAAAAGGGGCCCTGAAAGAAAAAGCAGATTCCCTCGTCAGAGGTCAGGCCAAGCAGAGACTGCACACTGGAAGGGAGTAGACTGGGAAGGTACAGGATGTAACTCATGGGATGGGTCAAGGGTGTTAAGAAGATCTCTCACCCAGACGCCTGATAGAAACTGCAGGAGCAAAAGCCCCCCCCCCCGAGAAAGGAGGAGGGACCCAGGCTGTCCCCCGATCATCTCTCCTACCTGGACTGGAGGGGCAGCAGCCGTTTCCACACCTAAGACAAAAGGAGGAAGGGAGGGAGTTTGCTTGCTTGTTCCCTGCTTCACACAGACCCCTTCCCAGGGTTGTGAAACCTCACCCTGTGTACACTCAACACATTGTAAAACACATTTTATACTAAAATCAGGGAGAGGCAGAAGGGAAGCACCAGGTACCTATGAGCCTCCGGGATTATAAATGCTGGCTACATATTTTAGACTTCTGTCAGACCTTTGTCTGGCCTGGAGGGAGGGGGTGGCAATGACATCACATGACCTTTCACCGTCACATTTGGACCAGGCATGACTTGAGCGCATTTGGAGACTCGAGGGTCCTCCTGGGAATGAGTTTTCAGAGTGTCTCTTGACATGCTAACTTCACAACCGGCTTTCCAGCCAGATGAAACATCAACAGGACACCACATCTGCCCCAAAGACCCTCCTCAGTGCTCTTGGGGGGTGCTGGGCCGTAGCCCGCCTGCCCTACTCCAGCATCCTGTTTCCCCCCCCCAGCAGCCTGCCAGACGCCCTTTCAAGGATGGGCAGAGAAGCCACATTTTACTAGGAACTGGTTCTCAGAGCTCTGCTGCCCCAGAAGGTGGAGGCTCCCTTCATTCACCAGGCTGAAGAGCTCTGCAGAGGTTTGACTACCTTTTCTCCTTTGAGCCACCTTGAGTTCCTCTTTTGGAAGGAAGGTGAGATGTGAATACTTAAATTAATGGAATTGCCCTCCATGAATGGGTTTAACCTCCTTTGAGAGGCCTCACAGTTCGTGGACACTGAGTGCCGCAAATCAACTCTGTGTTGTGTGAAGAAGTATTTAATGCTTTTCCTGACCTGAGCTCTCTACCCATCAAATTCACTGGGTGCCCCAATGGTATACTTGCACAGAGGCCTTACCACAGGAGAGGGCATCTGGGGCAAGCTCCATGGCCTGCGCTCTCTGCCCTTGCTTCCAGGAAGTTCCTTCCGCCTCAGGGAATATAGCTTCTGTCTTCATGGATGGTGCCCACATCTGAAACAGCAGGGAGGGAGAGGGATAAGAAGAAGCAAAAGAGGAGATTGGGTTTATACCCTGCCCTTCACTACCCTAAGGAGTCTCAGAGCGGCTTACAAACTCCTTTCCCTCCCCACAACAGACACCCTGTGAGGTAGGTGGGGATGAGAGAGCTCTGAGAGAACTGCCCTTGAGAGAACACCTCTGAAAGAACTTGTGACTGACCCAAGGTCACACCAGCAGCTGCATGTGGAAGAGTGGGGAATCAAACCCAGTTCTCCCAGATTAGAGTCCGTGCTCCTAACCACGACACCAGTTTGCTGTCGTGGAATGGGACAAAAACCACTGAATGGATCCTGCCTCACTCCCAGAGTCCAAACCTTCCCATCAGCAGACATCCTGAGTTATCTGGATGGATCAGAAATTCTCTCGTAGAAGAGAGAGGCTGCTGAAGGAGGCCGTTAAAGCTCCCATTTGAAAGATGAACACTTGGACAAATGTATCTCAGGGAAACTCTAGGATAAGGCCAGATATCGTTGCTTGAATTGGACATACCTGGAGGGAACCCCCCTCACCTGTCCTGCCTGCCTCTTCTCCTCGGCCTGACTCAGGAGGAAGCCTTCGGCCAGGGCCACCGCCTGGGAACTGGTCTCCGGCCCACATCCTCTGACCCAGCCCTGCATTTCCTGGGGCAGGAGAGTCAGGAACTGCTCCAGGATCACCAGGTCCACGATCTGCTTCTTGGTGTGCCTCTCCGGCTCCAGCCAGTGGCTGCAAAGTCCATGGAGCTGGCTGCAAACCTCTCGGGGCCCAGCGGCCTCCTGGTACCGGAACTGCCGGAAGCGTCGGCAATGTACGTCTGGGACTGCAGCGAGCTGGGAATGGATCTCTGGCCCCGGGCTTTCCCAGAATTCAACACCACTCCCGTCTTGGGTGGATTGGGGGCCTTTCCTCGCTGTCCTGCCAGTTCCAGGTCCTTCTGGGTCCTGCTCTTCCATCTCCTTCCCCTTCTCTCGGGTCACCTCTGACTGTGTAAAGATGCCTTCAGTTGCCTATGAAGAGCGGCTTCTCTCGGGGGGGGGAAGGAGAGACACAGAGAGCCACATGGAAAATAAAAGAAAATCGAGATACACCACTGAGTATCACACACCTTCATAGGCTCAGTAAAATGCAAGAATTGCCCTGGTGGATCAGAACAAAAGGGCTTCTTGTGGTTTGTAGAGCAGGTTGAATATCATTTTCCTATACTACAAGTGTCTCTGTTTTGCTCTTTAAGGGATGTTCACAAGCTTAACCTCCCCTTACACTGGCTCAGTCTGTCCTCAGGGCTAATTCTTAAGATAAACCCCAAAAGGACAGGAGGGATGGGTGACCCCTTGACCACTGTAGGTGTCTCTTCGACAGGCCTGAAGCCTTAGGAAAGATCTCTTTTGGAACTTATCCGAGAGAGTCTACGAGAGAGAAATAGCGGGTTGGCGTGAGAGTAATTAAAGGCGGGGCTAGAAGAGTGTAAGAGTACTGGAGCTGACAAGAAACAAGGGCAGAGACAGACGGAAACGGCGGATTGCAGCAAAGACAGAACGGAAGGAGTTGAATGGGCGCTGTAAGGGTGGAAGTAAAGCTTCAAGGAGGCGATTATAAACAAAGCGCAGATGGAAGCAAGTCATCGAAACAAGGGCAAAAGTAAAGCATCGAGGAGGCGATCGTAGGCAGAGCACAGACAGAAGCAAGTCAACAAAGCAAGTCACTGAAGCAAGGCAGGAAGAGACGGAAGTGGGGAAACGTGTAACATAGAACTGAACCCTGACATTTATCGAAGCAGAAATAGCGGAACGAAGAGACACGAAATCTTGTTCTGTTTTCTGTTTTCTCTGTTGGCTCCTTAATTGTGTATATGCTGGTTGGGAACACGGATTTAGTACAAAAGTAGGGCTTAGGTGTAATATATATATATATACAGAAAGGCACAGAGACAGTAAAGAGATAGGAAGCGAAAGAAAAATAGTGCTATTGTTTTTCTGGTGTTACTGTTGTTACTGTTGTTATTTGCTCGGTTGAAGTAGGTTACCTATAGTTCTCAAAGCGCTAGTTAAAAAGAAAAGGGGAAAATAAATAATAATAGATTAAACCATTAAACTCGATTAACTGAATAACCAATGAGATAGAGGTAATAAAGGTATTGATCTAAAAACTCATATTTAATCAATTAGAGTTAGAGTATTTAATTAATTAATATTTGATTAACACCTAATACATAATTTGCACAAAGTGAAGAATTAATCAACTAACCAATTAATTTAATTAATAAATTATTGAAGGAACTATTACTAATGAATGAATTAATTAATAAATGATTAAAAGAAGAAATAAAAGATAAAAATATCATTATAAGTAGTGTAGAAGCTCTAAAAGTAAGCATTTAACTAATCTGAGGAAATAAAAGTACTGATTTAAAAACCCATATTTAGCTACAACACATAATCAAGACTTAAACACAAGAGTTACATAAATTGAGGAATCAATGAATTAATTAGTGATTAAAGAAGGCAGCTACAAAAGATAAAAACGATAATCCCAGAATAATCCATAATTTTTATTAGTGCACTTGCAATAAAATAAATAAATTAATACTGCAAAGTAAGTATATGAACGCATTACAGAAGTTACATCTTAAAAAACGTATTCAACTACAAACAAAAATTGCATTACATAAATTAAAACTTCCCAATAAAACCAACAAGTTTAAAATGGCATCAGGATCCTCCATAAGAAAGTCATCAATACCCTCACCCAAAACCCAGGCTAGAATACAGTCATCCACGAACCCCTCAACTACGATATCTATGGAGGAACTAAAGACAGATCTAAAACTATGGGTACAAGATATAGTGACACAAACAGTGCAAGAGTCAGTTAAGGAAGCGGTCTCCCAAGCTGTTAAAGAAACAGTTGGAAATACTTCCAGCAATTCTCAAGACAGAAATGGAACCTATACACGCCAAAATGGAAGCCATCTTTCAAGAAACAGAAGAAATTAAGAAACAGCTGGATCAGCATAAACAAGAAATAGAAATTAACACCAAAGGGATTCGGAAATTAGAAAGGAATAACCAAGAACTACATGAAGAACTGATAGAACTAAAAGCCAATACAGAACGGATGGAACAATCAGTAATATCACTAGAGATAGAAAGATCTTCGTTAATTGTGAGATGTCAGAATGTGCCGGAGACAAAAGAAAAAGATTTGAAGGGAGAAATGGCCAAGTTGTTGTCAGAAAAACTAACATTAGGCAACAAGGACGAATTGGAGAAAGGCATCGATGTGGTCTATAGGAAAAATACGATGTACGCCAAAAAAACCAAAACACCAAGAGAAGTACATATAAAATTTAACAGGAAGGAGTTAAGAGATAAAACTCTAAGGGCCTCGAACCAGAAACAAGTATTACTAGATGACAATGAAATTAGATTTTTAAAGGACACGACCTGGAGAGTGCGAGAAAAAAGATTCCTTTACTCCAAGTTGACCAAGATATTAAGGGAAAACAATATAATCTACAGATGGCTCCTACTGGAAGGACTGCTTTTCACCTATCGAGGGAAGAGATTTAACATAAACTCCATATTCAAAATGGAAAACTTTCTAGAGTCATACGGACAAGATTTGGGGGCACAAACAGAACAAGAAAATTCAGAGTCATCAGAGGAGGACAGGGAGGAAGAAAAAGACAAGCAAAATGCAGAAGCAATGGATAAACAAGACCCTAAGAAGAAAAGAGAAAAGAAGAAAATAGAAAGAAGTATCTAGTCAAGTATCCTGACTAGATACCAATACAAGAAGAAGGGAAAGGACAGCAAAGAAAGGGAAGATGGAGAAGTTGCGGAAGATTAAGATCATTTCGGTAAATGTGAACGGGCTTAATAGCCCAAATAAAAGAAGGAAAATATTACACCAGCTGCACAAACTCAATTTAGACATAATATACCTTCAAGAGACACACATAAAAAAAGACCAGGAAAAATATTTGAAATAAAAAAAATTAGGGAGGCTATTTACAGATTCTGATCAAAGAGAGAAGAAGAGAGGGGTAGCAATATTTGTAAAGGATCACTTACAACCTAAATTAGAATTTTATGGTGAGGATGGAAGGATGATCGCGATATCAATCACGAGTCAGGGAAGAAGGATGATGTTGGTAAATATATATGCTCCTAATCAGAAACAAGGGAAGTTTTTTAAAAAACTAAGAGAAAAGTTAGCTAACCAGATAATTGAAGAGATTTGTATAATAGGGGACTTTAACTCAGTTATGGATCCAAAAATTGATAGAAAAACACAAAAACCGAGGGGAAGAAAGACTGGCAATATGCTACCCAAAACATTCTTACAAATAGCGGAGGAATACTCGCTAATAGACAGTTGGAGAACAAGGAATATCAATAACAAAGATTATACCTTTTTCTCAGCACGGCATAACACCTGGTCCAGGATAGATACCAGGATGGGTATCAACCTCTTTACTTAGTAAGATAGAAGACGTAGAAATATCAACAAGTACATTTGCTGATCATAGCCCAGTGATGATAACATTATATGATAATGGTAAAAAGACTAGATGGACGATGAATATGAATTTATTAAAAGATAAAGAAGTAGTAGGAAAAACTAAAAATATAATCAAAGAATTCTTTAGGATTAATATGCAACAAAGGACTTCCAAAGAGATAATATGGGATGACTTTAAGCCATTTATACAAAGCTGGTGGATCAATCAAGGAGCCTGGAAGAAAAAACAGGATAATAAAAAATACGAGATATTAAGAGGTAAAATATTAGTAGAAGAAACATTACTTAAAAATGGAAACAATGCAGAACGAGATAAAAGAGAGAAACTTATAAAATTGCAACATCAGCTAAACTTACTATTGACACAAGAGGGGCTGAGAGAGCTCTTGGCAGAAACTGCTCTTTTTCAAGAACAGCTCTTATCAGAACTATGGCTTGCCCAAGGTTAT